ACACACACACACACACACACACACACACACACACACACACACACACACACACACACACACACACACACAGCTAGAGCACTTAAAGCCTGCTGTTGTCATTAGTGATTGTAGAGCAGTGATTGCCAAATTTTCAGTTGGGGCCCCCTGGTGGACTTTGCAGGCACTGCAGGCATGCCACAGTAATACTGTGTACAGTTCCTAATTCTATCATGAATATGAAATTATTACTTATGAACAAAGTGAATTAAAGCAGAATTTTCTGGCTTTAAGGGGGCCACAGCACTTTTCGCTTTGGGAATGGCTGCTTTACAATATCCATAACATTTTACTACAAAACAACGTGAAACGGTGGTTAAAAAACGTTTTTCACCAACATAATGACTTAAATCAGAGCTCTGCTTTAATAGCAGTTTATTATTAGCATTTGGGTCCCCGTGAGGTTAAAAACAAGTTTTTGCTCTAACAAATAGAAAGATTTTTTTCTTTCTGTGGAAAGAAACTGGGGGCAGACATTTATATACATCTTATAGTGATGCTTCCATCAACAAATACATGTAACTTGGTATAAATTCTAAAAGGAGACAAACCTATTTCCTGTGTGCCCCTGCATGCCCTCACTGCTGATGTCCTGTTTTTCCTTTCTGTGACACGAGACTACATCCTAATCTTAAACATAGACTGTACAGAAAAGATGCAGGAGTCACAGGCTTATTTTTCTGCAGTCAAATGTGTTTAGCGAGCAGTGGACGTTTTGCTGACTTGTCAGTCACAAGGCTTTCATACCTTAAAGCCCACCCTTCTTTATACTGTGCTGTTAATCTTTTTCTTTTCTTTTCAAATGTTCCCTTTATCCCTCCATCCTCCTCTGTCACACCAAACATCTGCAAGCCCACCTTCACTAGAGCCACACATCTTCTCTGAAGTCTTCCTCTTGTCCTCCTGACTGGCAGCTCCATCTTCACTGTTCTTCCCTCCTCTGCACATATCCAAACCATCTCAGCCTTGCCTCTCTTTAACCGTCTTCAAGCTGCTCAGCCTGAGCTGTTCCTCTGATGCACTCATTTCTAACTCTGTCCAATCTGCTCACTCTTCGGTTTTACTCTGAGTAGAAATCTAAATTATAAAACATGGTTTTGCAGATAAAACCATAAAAAATTAACACATAGATAGTTACACTGACTGTGGCAAACTTTAGACGCAGAATACTTTGCTTCCATATTTGGTTCCTCTTTGCGGTCTTTTTTTACGCGTGTGCGATGAATGAATCACTGCCACGAGCAGCATCAGCAGTGCTGCTTGTGTACGTGTGACTTAAATTTATGAATCTGTTGTGAGCTCTGTGGTTTACAGCGTACCTTGTCTCCTTTCTCTCCTTGAGATGTGTCAGTACCACTCCCCTAAAAACAAAAAAGGTTCATATGTACTTCTGGACAACAATGAGAGAATAAGAGAGGCTACCAAAAGGCAGCCCTTTGTCTAAATTCAAAGAAATGATATGTCCCTTTAGTGTACCATTATACTTACCGTTGGCCCTGGGGGACCGGGAGGACCTGGTGGGCCCTATAAACAGGACAAAGAGTCAGACTAAGCTTAATAAGTCAAAGATAAATAAACCTGCATTCTGGCTTTAATGTGACTGGAACTAACTTATCACAGGGTTTGCAGGTTATACCACTTTTAAGCTAAAAAAATGTGCAACTAATGTAATATGTAATAAATAATTTTTTATTTTATGTAATAAAATAAAAATAAGTTTTAAACATCCTGTTACATAAAACCTAAATGCCTGCTCGCATAGAACTTTTATGAATGTAAGATATTTAATAAAGCAATATTAAAGCAATCGTCACACAAGGTATTAGAACAGTTTTTCCTTCATAATCACTGCATTCAGCATACTGAAAATTAGAAATTAATTAAACAAAAAAAAGAAAAATGAAGGTGTAGATGCAGGAATCGGTCTGAGGAAGAGGAAACAGATAAATGAGTTTACATACTGGGTATCCTTCAGGTCCTTCGGGACCAGGAAAACCGACTGGACCATAAGGACCTTGGAAACCCTGCAGACATAAAACAAATGAAAACAAACCCACGTTACACAGCGGTGCTGTTTTCACTGTGGTGTAACATTATTTTAGACCACACATTGCTAACATCCAGTGCATATTTCACAGAGCTCAGTCGTACTACTTTGCATTAAATATTTATGCTGTTGGGTGAAATAGTGAAAGAAAATCTTACAGGTGGGCCAGGGGGTCCTGGGTCACCCGGGGGACCCTGTATACCCTAGATGAGTGCAATAAAGAGAAGAGCAAACAATAAATAAGATGCACCAACACCTCTACACACATGGCAGAACACGGTCTTCTTCATTTGTGGCAAACGTTGGGATTTTTATTCATGGTTATCAGCAGGAGTCAAAGTGGGCCAAATGCCACTCCAGCAGCTTCGGTAAATGAGAACTTAAATCTGTTAGCAGCTTTCAATAAACTGTATCAGGCTGGCAGTCGATCCAGCTGATGCCATCGAGAATAACGTCGTCCTGCTGCACGCAAACGTTCTGTCTGCTCACTCATGTCATGTGTTCATGCTGCAAATGTCAATAAAGTTGTGCCACAGCAACCCGTTTCCTTCATATGCTGGGTAATTTGCAGTTCAATGTGTCAAAGAGATCAACAAATATCACCTAGATTAAAAACTCTTTCAGTGCAGTCTACCTGGGTTTATGTGTGTATTTTTTTAGGTTGTTGGACTCCTCATTAAAGATGTTGCTGAACTTGTGGTTGTTAGTTTCAGTTTGTGTTAGAGTTTATTGACAAATTGAGATGCTTAGAAAATGCAAAGAAAACACATACAACAACATTTACTAACCACACATCTGTGTCTCGTTACCTGCCATGTCCATTACCCTGATTACCCTTTTATGTGCAAATAGTGTTGTCATTTCCTCAGACTTTGTCTCAGTGTCTGTCGTCATCACTCTGTGTTCCTAGCCTCTTTATAAAGTAGCACAGGTTTAATTTACCTCCTTATTTCATGAACTCTAACACGTTTTGTTTACATCTGCCTGCCTGTGAATCGACATTTGGATCACTTTGATCAACAACCCCTCATCAATGACCGCTGGAGGAAATCTGAACTATCAATTGTGGGAGAATTATCTTTGTGAAAATATTAGTAACCTATGCGTCACTTTTCCACACCTTCAGTTGTCCTACTGACTACTGAAATAAAGTTTATTTAGATAACCAATCAAAAATCAAATATTAAGCGGTTTTACTGCTAAATGAGAGGACTTCCTTTTCTTTCTAATCCATAGCTTCCCTATAAGCAGATTGTGATTGTATGTATAAAGATTATGGGATGAGGGATTAAGGAGGAAAAGATGCAGGAACTAAAAGATTTGTCCAACCTAATAAAAAAAACGAGAGTAATGGAAGTGGAAAAGTAAAGTTTTTGCAATATTTTGATACTGCAAACAGCTGAACTGCCTTGGTTAAAGAGATCAACCTCTGAGCAGCATTAGTGTGCATGAGTGGGAGCTTACAGCATTCTCCGAGATGAATACAGGCTCTCCTTTCTGACCCTTAGGCCCATTCAGCCCCTGTTGGAGGCAAACACAACATCAGTATCTCTGTCTCTGTATGTAAATATAATATTCTAAGTATTGCTATACGTGAGATTAAAAATATGTGAGGTGAATGAAACAGCATGTCTTTCCGTACAGGAAATCCAGGGGTGCCAGGGTATCCCCTCCCAAAGCCGGGATCTCCAGGATCTCCTCTGGTCCCGTTACAGCCGTCCAGTCCCGGTGGTCCTCTGCTGCCCGGCTGACCAGGGTGACCCTGCACAGCGAAGGATAATAAGGACATGATGACAAATTATAATTTGACCTCTCATTAGAATATTTACATTTCCATGATCATTTTTTTCTATATTCCTGCACTTTTTACACAATATGATCTGGAATTTCTTAATGTGAAGCTGAATAAATGAATAAAAAGGACGAGGAAGAGAAAAAAATCTGAAAAAAATCTCGATGTTATCTTTAATGACAAGAAACCTCATTAAGGAAATTAATGGATACCGTTTGCATCTGTTTACTTACAGGCACACCATCACTTCCTTGGAATCCAGGCACTCCCATTGGTCCCTGCAAAGATAATAAATACTTTAAATATACAATAACTTTGAATGGAGACACCTTGTGGGCAAAACATGCAACTGCGTGCTTGGTGTAGAAAATCTGAATGTACAATGTTTGCATGAAGCATTATATTTAGCAAACTGTGATATTATTAAAAAAATGTATTTGCTAATTAGTTATACACAGTATGTGCATACATCATGGATCTTTTCATTAGGTACGCCTTGCTGATACTGGACTGGACCATATTTTGCCTTCAGAACAGCTTTAATTCTTCATGGCACAGATTCAATAAGGTGTCGAAAACACTTCTCAGAGATTTTGTTCTCAGATTATTCTGTAAACTCCAGAGATGCTTTTGTGGTCACTGAGATCACATTTCTTACATATTCTGAAGCCCAGTTTGAACTTTAACATGTCTACATGCCACGCGGAGTTGTGATTAGCTCATTAAATGTTTGCATTAACTTAGATATTTTGTAGTAGATGTATTTTACCCTCTATAGCCAAACCCGTTGCTGGCATCAGACAGGTGTCTTGCACATTTTTTTAAAACATCTGTAACTCCAGTAACTGCTGAATATTTTGCTAAATTAAAAGAATTCCAACGGTTCTTGAAAGCAGCGACTCTGCACGTGTCAGTGATATTAGGGTCATTACGGTAATCCCAAGAAGAAGGTTGGTTGAGAGAAGACAAAGTGAGTGAGTGAGAAGCAGCTCTACAGAAAACAAACATTTGAATGTGGGTTCATTTTACTTTGTTTTTTTTTTTTTTTTATTATTATTTTGTTTTTTCTGTGTTGCTTTCTGTGCTATTCATTGAGATTTGGATGTGCAGCCCTACCAGGGATTACCATAATAACATCACAGGAAAAGAACAGAAATGATGCTTTCAGGAACTGCTGATATTTTTTGTGCTAATGTTTCCTTTGATCTAAAAGTTTGACCTAAATCAGCGCTCCCATTGGTTTCAATGGGTTAATAAGGTGGCCACTGAGTGAACGAATCACATTTAATGGGAAAAACAAATTACAACCAATGTAAAGATCTGAAGCACCTACTTTGTCTCCCTTTGGGCCCGACGGTCCTTTCAGCCCAAGGTGGCCCTTCTCTCCTTTTGGCCCAGAAGGCCCAAAGACCCCACGTGGCCCGTCCTGTCCAGACGGTCCAACTTCACCGAGAGCTCCTGGACGACCCTGAGAGCAAAGAGAAGACATGATCACTGTTCACCAAACTGCAAGCAGAAAAACACAGACTGCACACCAACGGGGGGAGTTAACATGTGAGTGTGGCTCACGTGTAGTCCATGAAATAACACAAGTAGTGATATTACATAGTTATTACCTATTACCTATTGCCTAGTAGAGGCACAGCTACTGTAGGTTCACATTCAGTTAGAGAATGCAAAGAAATGACAGTAAAATTAATGAAAAATACATTTTAGTCTTGAAAGAGCCAAAAATTCACTATGTTGTCTAAATGACTTACACAGCTCACAGGTGCACCGCTCAGTCGTGACCACAGGAGGGCAGCATAAACACAACAAACACTAACAGGTGGCTCTACTTCAGGCAAACGCACACACATTCACACAGCACCCAGAAGTACTGACAGCCTCCCATTAGCTCACATTTTAAGAAGTTTGACTGGATAAGGAGAGGGGAGATGAATGGAGGGAGGAGTGGGCAGATAGTGGGACAGATGTTTGTGAAGGTTTAACTTCACAGCTAAAAAAGCCCTTGTTATTATGTAAATGCTGCAGGAAAACCCCCCCCAACAAAAACATAAATCCAGTACGAAAACAAAATCCATAGTAAGCTTGTCTTATATCATAAACTGAAATAAGAGTGCAGCTTTTACATGCAAAGAATGCATGTAAAAGAATGCAGCGACATGCAAAGAAATGGGCTCGTAAACTCATTATGAATAAATAATAGATTTAAATTTCCTTGAGAATATAAACTACTGCTGCAGATCTACATCTACAAGACAATCATACATATATTTATAGGGATGTTTATGAAGGATGAAACACTTTCCAACTGCTTTCTACCAGATTCGCATCTGGAATTTAACTTAACCTAATGTGACGTGCATTAACAGACGGGGTAATATACAACATAGTGCAAATGTATATCCGTTTACTGTATGGACAGTAGTGCACACCCTTAATTACACACATAGAAAAGAGTCACATCCCTGTACTATTTCCATGCACACATAAATAGATAAATGAAGATAATGATCTCCTCTGAGCTGGTCCCGTTCATATAGACAGAGTCTGTGTGCCTGCAGATAGAAATGTATTTCACCAAACCAGATCAGAGCCACACATACATACAGAAGGTCAAACACGAGCTTACATGTAAACACTCTTTAGGATTTAATCTAAACCACAGGGTGAATCAGGCGTATACAGCATCTGGACTTTTTCGATAAAGACTTAAACTCCTTCTTTAGACTGTACAGGAAACCACATGTGTGAGGAGTGGTGGTAAAATAAATAATCTCTTATTCATATATATGACGTAGTAGTTCCTAGAACAAGCAGACAAGTTATATTAGTCTATGAGAAAATGCCGTCACAATAAAAGTGAATTTCTCTCCTTAAAACCTAGAATGACTGTATCAGTGTATTGTATAACTTATATTATATGATAAATGCTTGTCAGGTGCTGCTAATCAAAAGCACCTGATTAACTGATCGCCCAGAAGTGTGATCACCTCTATAAAATCGGACGTCTTGGCAGTTTGCTGGTCTGGAGCATTCGGGAGTGTGGAGGATAGACATCAGTAATAATCCAAGACGAATAATTGTTGCGTCCCATTAATGTGGGAATGGCTATAAGGCAAAAATGCATGTGAACAAACAACCAGCCTTCACCAGAATGGCTTAAAAAGAAAAGAGTCAACATATTGCAATGGTCCAGTCAAAGTCCAGATATGAACTTTGCTGAAATGCTGGTGTGGGACCTTAAGAGAGCTGTGCATAAACAAATGCTTGCAAACCTCAATGGACTGAAGCAACGTTGTAAAGAGGAGTGGGCCAAAATTCCACAACAACAATGTGAGCCACTCATAACGTCATGAAGGAAACAAGTGATTCAAATTATTGCTGCTAAACGAGCTAAGCTACTGAATCATAGGGTATACATCGTTTTTCACACTGCTTCTGCAGTTTGGCCTAATTTTTGCTACATAAACAATAACACAGTGTACCACATTATGGGTTGTTCTTCACTTCAGGTTGTATTTACTCAGTGTTGGACCAGATGTTATTTTATTATGTGTGAAACCTTGGAATTCAAAGTGGGTGTACTTGCCTTCTCGTGTTTAATGGAAACTTTTTCCAACTTTAATGACAGTAATTAAATAACTCACATTAATATCAGTGCGTTTTTAATGTGTGGCAGTGAAACACCTGCTAGCAGAATTTTACTGTAAGTTTACAGGTAAAAACAAATTTACAGGGTTTTCACTTAAACACTGTAAATGTGTTTGTCTTTGTAAAGTGACAGTGATGCCAGACTGGTCTTTGTCACACTGTCTTACCTGAGCTCTCAGCTCCAGCCTCAGGGCAGGCAGGTAGTGCTTAATGACAGGGCTGTGCCAGCCTGCCTGACTTGTCTGGCCCATAGTTCACACTCACACCTGGTTTCACCCAGGGAAAATATGCAGGGATCCCATAGGAAGCTGCTTTCTTTCACGCCTTTCTTTTCATCCCTCATTCCTCCATCACTCCTTATTGAAACAACTGCTATACATCATTTCTTCTCCCTCTTTCTTTTTGGTTCTCCTTTCCTCTTCACCTTCCACCAACTTCCTACTGCTTAATCTCTGACCTGTCTTCCTCCCAGCTGTCATCACAGTTTGAGCAACATACACCTATAAATGTCTTAGCAGACCTCCAACCACTCGCTTAAGTATCTCTTTGTTTATCTAAAACTCAGCAGGTCATGGGGTCACCTTGTCCAAAGGCTCCGCCGTCTTTTTAGTTTCTATTTTCAGGTCATAGGTCACTTTCAAAGCGTCTGTCTGGCCTTACATAAAAGGTGAGAGGTGAAGAGTTGGTTAAGGTGAAAATACGATCTGGTGTCAGTTAGTGAAGAGTGTTTTTTCTGCCTCAACCAAAAAAAGATGTTTACAAGCTAGTAAAATAACCAACAAATGCTAAAAATGGCTTCAAAACCGAAATCTCTGAAAGTCTGAGCTGTTTATTGTCCCTGACTCTTTGAGGGAGGTTCTGAGGGTTTAAGGCGTCTGTGTATTCCCTAACATGGTATGGTTTTAAAAAACTGAGAGAGGAGGGGGAAGAGAAGAGATGAAACAAGAAGGTGGGTAAAAGCCCCATAAAAACAGTTACATGTAGTTTTAAATAACATCCAGGCGGTTTAATTTGCCATAAATTTAAAGCTGCTCTAAAATTGACCAGGGGGATTAGAAAGAGTCTTTTCAACTCAACTTTATTTATATTGTAAGGTAAAAATCCTACAATAATAGAGGGAAAACCACAACAATTAGAAAACCCCCTATGAGCCAGCAGTTGGTGACGGTTGGAAGGAAAAACGTCCTTTCAACAGGAAGAAACCTCTGACAGACCTAGGCTCAGGGAGGGGCATCCATCTGCCGTCACTGGTTAGGGGTGAGGGGACGAAGACAGGAAAATAGACACTCTAATTTAAAAGTAGAGTGGGTGTCCATCTCCTGAATCCAAACTGGGAGCTGGTTCCATAGAAGAGGGGCCTGAAAGTTGAAGGCTCTGCCTCCCATTCTACTTTTAAATATCCCAGGAGCCACAAATAAGCCTCCAGTCTGAGACCAAAGTGCTCATGTGGTCAAGTATGAGTCTTTAATATAAAATGGGGCCTGATTATTCAAAACCTTGTATGTGAGGAGCAGGAAATTCAATTCTGCATTCAAAAAAGAACCAATGAGGGGAAAAGCCAATATGGAAGAAATCTACTCTCCCAATCAATGACTGTTCAAATAACTGTCCGGTCTTGCTTCTACAAGGACTTTGGTGCTAGACTGTACAGTGGGTCCAAGTGAAGAAGAATAGACCTCACTAGATGGAGCTATATAGGTAAGATTGAATTAAGTAGTTAAATGGCCTTTAATTAAGTATATGTCTAGCTCTGCTTTTTGTAGACATGGAGACAAATTTTATCGTTGATCTTTCCCCCTGCCATCATCTCCCTGACTCCCGACACCGTCTCATTCGCCAGTTGGCATCCCTGTTTGTTTTCATGCCATCCTGTCGGGTCTCTGCCCGGCTCTTCCAGACCTTCCATCCTCATCACCTTCCAGCAGACTAGTCAGTTTGTAGGCCCAAATCCCTACCAGCATAATGGGCACAATGGACCCTATTCTGGCCCACTAAGCTCTCTGGACTTGCTGCTCCCATCAAGCCTACCTCACTTCCTGATAGAGGAGAGTGCTTGGACAGACAGATTCTAGCCAACATTCGTGTGATAACCAGTGTGTGTGTATGTGTGCTGTTTATGAACACACGCGCATGCAAACGCGAACACATGCCCTCGGGCCCTTGGAGGGTTTATCCGCACACATTGTTCTGTGAGCCGGTTGTGCTATGGGGAAGATTTTAGCTGTCACACCGCATGCTCACTTGGGTTTGATGATGGGCTGAAGATGAGGCAAGGGGTGGGCAAATGATAGGTCTTTGGGTGCAAGTTTAATCAGCAAACCAGTCTGATAACCCAATTATGGTTGAAGCCAAATGAATCGGCAGAACCTCAAACGCCTTTGCCAAAAAGGCAGAGTGAAAATACGGGCTGAAAGGACGGGACTTTTGATGCCGTTAAAGGTGAAACAAGGTGCAAGTCTTCAGCTCCCACACTCCGTCCATTTAAAATTACAGAGAAAAGAGAAAGAGGGAAATCCTCCTTAGATGGGAATGTTTGGGTTAGGTCTCCTCTATTCACTAATGGTCCGACTGCAAACCTAAACACCTCGTTTCTCCCAGGCATGTTTGTCCTGCTCCAGATGACTGAGGATAAAACAACCACAGAAAGTGAAAGTAAAGCCTTGATTTTTTTAAGCAAATTAACTAAACACATGGTTTCTAAGTTGCTCCTCCAGCAACTTGACCTTTTTGCACTTTTTCCCAAAAAACAGTTCAGTGGCCTGGTATTTATGTATGTCTAGCTGTGAAAGTTGTCACTCCATAAACATAAAA